AGGCTACAATAGCCCAATCAGTGGCCGCCGTGCCGAGTGGATCCAGTTGGACTCCACCTCCCACTAAGCGAATTAAAAAAAAATTAAAAAAGGGTCGGCAATAACGCTGCATGAAACTTCTAAACTATTAGAAATATTAAAAGTAGGCAAGTTAATTAATATGTTGCCGTGAATCATTAAGAGTTACGATTACAACCACTAGAATACATACAAATTCATAATCATATTAACATGTCATCAGAATTCGAGATCGCAGACTTTTTTTTTCGAATTGGGGATTTCAGATTTTAGAAGAGGTTCGACTTGGCTGAGGAAGCCGGAAGAGTGGTTGCTGGAATTTTGGGCTTTCTGAACAAACTATCCAAGATACAAAATTCGAGTTTCGAGTCCGAAAATTCGGAGAGTAACTGTAATGGAAGGGGCACGCGATAGCGTAGTTGGTTGGGGCACTACGCTACAAGCCGGAAGGTCGCGGTTTCGATTCCCAATGAGGTCATCGAACTTTGTCAGTTTACCTGATCCTTCCAGCCGCACTGTGGTCCTGGGGTCGACTCAGCCACTAAGAGAAATGAATACCAGGAATCTTCCTGGGGTTAAAGGCTGACCTCACCGTCATCTGTGAGCCAATTATTTGGATAATGCGGGAGCCTCGAGGTCTCACAACCCTAATACTTCGTTCGAGTAACCTGTGGAAGGGGGGATATATATAAGCATAAACATGGCGATATATATGTTGCGATTTTTTAAAAAGTTAATTCATAATGAGCTGGCTGTTGTAACAAGGTAAAGATAAACGGTAAAGTTTTCCCTGTGCTTAACTAGTTAACCACCATGCCATGAAGGCGTATGGGGGAGTGGTTGTATAGATCCATATTTTCTTGACCTCGACACTAGATGGAGGTGAGTGGTCAGCTTCACGCCCCGGTCGCTTTACTCCCGGAGAAATATCCCCCGGTACCTATTGCATAGGCGTCTGGGTGGGCCCCAGGGCCGGTCTGGAAGACGTGGAGAAGAGAATATTCTTGACCCTACCGGGACTCGAACTCTGACCCTTCGGTCTTCCAGCCAGTAGCCAATCGCTATACAGACTGAGCTATCCCGGCTCCTACTGTCACCAGGAATTGTTAAATACCTGTACAAACTGTCTTCCATCTGAACGATTTAATTTGAAGTTACTTTTAGAAGGTACCAGATATATCGCAAAGGTAATTCAAAATTCTTAGTTGTTACTTCACTTAAAATAAATTCCCTGTAATTAGATTTTCTCTCAGTTTTCACTGATATAGTTGTACAGCAATTGATATAATTCGCTTAGTGGGGGGGGGGTGAAGTCCAGCTGGGTCCACTCGGCACGGCGGCCACTACTGATTGGCCTATTGTAGCCTGCCCCGGGGGATTATGATGATGGAGAATTTGGTGGAATGAAGACTGGCAGGGGAAACCGAAGTACTCGGAGAAAATCCGCCCCAGTGCCACTTTGTCAACCACAAATCCCATTTGACCAGACCCGTGCTCGAACCCGGGCCGCCGCGGTGGGAACCCAGCAACTAACCGCTTGAGCTATGGCGGCAAGCAGATATGACCTCTTTTTTTTTTTCTAACTACACATTGTTACAATCCAGAGGACAGTACTCTTAGAATGTGCGACTTTACAGAACTGTGAACTGTGTTATTAATAAATACCAGATATTACGAAATCGAATGACGTTTATCTTTACAATTCAGTGACCATTGCCTGAACATGCATTTCATTTAAATAAAATATAGGCAATTTAAAATACATGCTTTATCTTATTACGACAATCCTTTAGTCAGGCAATAGATCCTTCTGGTTATGTTATTTGATGTGTACTTAGAAGGGTAGTTCGATGGTCCTGTTTGTTGTTGAATTTGTATTAATTAATTTTGTGTCTCCTATTATATTGACTCGTGGCTTTAATTACATGAGAACTTAACAGTGATCTACCTCGTGAATTCCTGTCCCTTTTACGGAAAATTTTGGTTCCCTTAAGCCCTTATGCGGTGCTGTGATCATTACAAATTCCAGTTTACTGTGATCTATTCAGATTTTACCTTCTAGGATTGTGGCCTATTCCGATACAGAATTAATCTCGGAACTAATCGATTTGCTGTTTAGCGACACCGTCGTAACTACTTAAATTTGTTTCGATGACACTTGTAACGAAAGAGTTGTGTGACAGAAGCAAACACGAAAAAATTATAAATCAGTACTATTTAAATATGGCCTTCCGTTCTGGACACAATACCAACCGGGCCGGCTGAAATTCCTCATCACTTCCACAATCTCCACAGTAAAAGCAAATCCCGTTAAAAAAGGATTTTTAAAAATTATTTTAAGCCTTTTCGAACGTCATTTAACTTACCTTGAGCTACGCCACAACCTCACACACTGAGTCTCAGTTCATAGTGTGCGTTCAGTGGTTCAACAGTACCTTCTTCCCCCACCAGTATTATGACCTTGGGCGGAACGCGGTGTCCTGCGCCTTCTGCTCTGAATAAAGTAAAATACCTTACGTATTCATAGTTATTGGGATTTACTTATTCCAATGTAGTGGATAGAATAGACGTAGAGATGTCGAAATAATTATCGGGGTCAGGCTGGTGAGAGACAGAGCTCATCAAATGGGACTTGACCTGCAGGCTTCTTCGTTCCGTCGTTTCTCGATGAACAGAATAAGTGGCGGTGGCGCGCAGTTCCACTCGACTTACCTTTACATATTACGACATTTAGAGCGTAGCTACAGTACTTCCTGGGTTTATCGGCTTCATTGCAATCCACCATATCCCTTGTTTCAAGGTTATTAATTTTGCAAATTTAATGCGACCTGTTTGCCGAGAATGAGTGAGGAAACCACGCGAACGTCATGATAGCTTGATCTTCGAGTCAAGAATCGATCCCACAGCCACAGTGTGAAACTTTGTCTCTGACATTAAGGGAGGGACATAGACTGAGGGTGTTTGAGAATAGGGTGTTCAGGAGAATATTTGTACCGAAGAGAGATGATGTGATGGGAGGTTGGAGAAAACCGCATAATAAGGAGCTTCGTAACTTGTACTTTTCTCCAAGTATAATTACAATGATCAAGTGAAGGGGGTTGAGATGGGCACGGAATGTAGCATGAATTGAGACGAGGAATGCATATGGGATATTGGTGGGAAAGCCAGAAGGAAAGAGACTACTAAGGAGATCAAGGCATAGGTGGGCGAACAAGATTGAAATGGATCTTAGAGGGATAGGATGGGATGGTATGGATTGGATTGATCTGGCTCAGGATAGGGACCAGTGGAGGGCTCTTGTGTACATAGTAATGAACCTTTGGCTTTCATAAAATGCTGGGAAATTCTTCAGTAGCTGCACAATTGGAAGTTTCTTGAGAAGGGCTCAGCTCCATGAGTGAGTGCATCCATAGCCCAAATGGAATACATACTTTGGGATCCCACTGGCTGTGTGGCTAGTATTATTGACCAATTTATTTCCTGGGAAGCAGAACTTAATTCCAAACATGTATGGCATGGTATGTGCCCTGTGTACTGGAAACACAAGATAGAAATCCATTCTACATATGTACACTAGATTGTTACTGAGAAGTACACAGCTTCCTCCCCCTGCACTTCTTTCTTCTATTCTGTCTCTTCTTAATAAATATGCAGTCACATTGGTTTCTGTTGAAGTTATTGTTTTCTTCCCATTCCCATGTTAAAACATGTTCCATGCATTACTGTAAATAACTTGTCATGAATTAACACAGCACATCATCCAAGATTGTATCAACATGTATAAAAGCTTGCATGCTGACTACATGACACTTTTATTGAGAAATATTGATTTATAATTTATTTAATTATACAAGTAAAGCTAGTGCAGTTGAGTTTAAATTGATTAAATGATTGTAACAACAACTTTTGTGACAATGGGGAGTTAATTTGGTAGAATGACTGGAAAGGAAAATGGTACAACCCCAACAAAAAATTGTAGCTAACATGTTTACTGCAAATCCCATTCATAATGGACAGTTTTGGACTATTTTTCTCTTGAACTACAAAGATGAGTAGCCCAGAAGGTAGATTATATTCACAGTCTTCAATATGTTAAAGCAGCATTTGGCCAGTCAATTACAGAACTATGTAGGAAAACATAAATCCACAGTACTGTTTAATATTGCTGATAATTTAATTTTTAAATTGATAGGAAACATCCTTCCATCTACCTCCTGAACAGCAATACAATACTGTCTAACAGATGAGCAATTTACAGTCAGATTTATTATTGATATATTACAAATCTTGGATTTTATAATTAGTATGGCGGTATGAAATTAATATATATAACTAAATGTGAAAGACAAATTAAATTTAATCATTACAAAATTATACACAATTAACAAAAATGAACACAAATAGAAGATAAGATCTTGTGCATAAAGTTACCATCATATCACTGTCTTTATTCTTGTACTTAGAAATCTCTGGTAATATGCATATTCTTCAGTATTCAAGCGGGGAGGCATCATCATATGGAACATTCAGCAGTATCTCAGTCTTTTATTTTCAATTTGGCATTAAGGCAAAACATGAATGCAAATCAACTGCAAAGGAATAATCACTGTAATGCAGTACATCAGACATTTTCCACTTTAATGTTAATTTGAAAAGGCACAGAAAACTCTCTTGCACTGCAAATTTCCACACCTAAACTAGCATTGGTGTTAGCCCCTTCCTCCCTGGAGCTTCTGCCTTCTCTACAGGATGGTGAATTCAGATTCCTCTTGAATGCTGCACAACAAATTAGAGATGTCAATCAAATTCACAAGAGGATATGAAACATATTGTTTTATGTTCATGTTAGTATAACATTAAAACAGTCACCTGATAATTAAATTAGAGAACAAACCAAATATTGTGTTCAATATTATGTTCTCAATAGTTACGACTATGAAGAGTATAATCTTTTTGGTTGTAACACTGTGTAGCTCAGTAGTAGTCCACCAATGTTTCAGAGAAACATACTGCCAAACAAGAAACCAGCAATAAGCATGCTTACTCTTTTCATCTCTGAAGATGGAGGTGATACATTTGGAGACTACTGCTGAACTATGCAGTTACAACTCATAAGATCATAATCTTCAATATTTAATTATTTGGGAGGGATGAATTTTTTATTGATGTTACAGAAATATTTCTTTAGTCCACTACTGATGCCTTGGAGCAGTTCTTTATATCTGAGACTTGAGCTTACTACAGGGGTGAGAGTAATCTTCATTCTTTATATTTTTATTCTCCTTACTCATTAAAACACTAGAAATTCAGTATTCTTTCATTATAATCCTACAGTCACCTACTGTCACTGAAATATATATAAAACTAATTAATATCCAATAATCTATAAAGGTAAGAGAATACAATATATTGTAGCAACCAAATTCAGTGGTTAGCTTCACTGCAAAATAATTATATGACCTTGCATTCAGAGGCATGGAAGGTCTAAACTAGATGCAGCAGGTGCATGTACTTAGGAGGAATTGC